AGGGGAAGACGTGTAGTGGCGTGAAGCTAGGCGATTAGGTGCCGTACGCGAGCGCCGGTTCGAGTCACGCACGCAGTACGTATTTACTATAATTAGACATAGTCTTTACCTTGCCGTTTATTCGGTGTTATTTGCTTACTTTACTTCCTATGTCGACAGCAACTATGAGTTTAAAATTATTTCTCAGTACTTATTCACTGTTACAATACTGTACCATTACTTTCACCATCCTACTACAGCCAGATCTGAAGGCCTTTGCCGCATTCTGGCCATGCTGTGTGGCGCGTATCGCGTGGACGGGTTTCATGTTCTCTGCACGTAATAAGCTCGGTTATTAAGCATCCTTTTTTGGGGATGCCCGGTGGCCGAGGGGAAGACGTGTAGTGGCGTGAAGCTAGGCGATTAGGTGCCGTACGCGAGCGCCGGTTCGAGTCACGCACGCAGTACGTATTTACTATAATTAGACATAGTCTTTACCTTGCCGTTTATTCTTTGATAATTACATATGTGCCTTTCTAACTAGATTTAAAATATTGCGAGATAACCTCTACAATTAGGTGAAATGAACATATGACGTCATCCACGCGTGACTTGCCAATGTGCTACGCCACCGTGACGTCTTATCTAGTTTGGACTGCATAATGGCGAAAATTCGACAGAGTGCTTTGAATTTGTTACTGACGTCTTTAATATTGAATGAATAATTCCTCGCAGTCAAGAATCTTAGCCACAGTTCTTTTACACGTTTTTATGCCCATGATGTAAACTACCATATAAAGCAAATTGCAGTGTTTTTGCAGAAACTTTCTCCAAATCATGAATTATATTCTCAATTTCCCTTTTAAAAATAACTGACCACAAAACAAGTGTTAGCACAGAATAGAATTCGAGCGGAAAAGAACCCCAGCTACGCTTACAGTATGCATACAAATCATATATTTGTACAGACTGATTTTGTTTTCATTCTTTTTAAATGCAGCCACTCATTCACTCGTGTTGTATACAATACTATGTGGTTTCACGTAATGAGTGCGGTCTCTAACGAGCAATAATAGAACGTATTTCCGTCTACGTCGTTCGATAGCGATTTAATAGGTCTTTTCATTTCACGATTTTGTTTCGATTTATTCGTATCGATTTTAATAAGGCTGCAAGTGTCTAATAATTTAGACATCTAGCTTGTCAGTAAGATTCCAACACCAAATCGTGCATATGACCAAGAAACTGGATGCAAAGACGCCGTGCGGTTAGTTAGGTAGATCTCATAGTTAAGTACTTGTGTTCTGTACTTGTGTACTTGATTAGGTTATCGGTACGTAATTTTATTTTTAGAATACGACTTCATGTTTTCTCAGTTTTGTTTCTACCTGCTCTAATAAACCACCTGTCAATGCCACCCATGATTTGGACTCGGGTTTGGTTGCATTTGTGCATTTACTCTTTTAAAAAACATTAATCTGTAAAATATATTATTATATTATTCTTTTATTTTATTTTCTATTATTTTGAATTGTCACACAATGATGTGAGGAGTGGCATAAACAGTTTGGTTATGTAAATTAGCATTTTCTACCGCCAATATTTAAGAAAATTATAAGTGATGTAAGTCAGCATTGCAGTTAGTTGTCTGAAATTGTCGCACATTTTTCTTATATATATTCGCTAATATATTGTATCTCTGATATTGTATAACATTTCAGGAATGAAATAGATCACCATTTCTTTGAAAGTAACATGGTAACAACTGGATACTTCGTTACCACTAGCAATTCACGATTGTCCGAGGCCGTTTCGAGCTATTTGTTGGCAAGTTTAAGTGGTTAACGAATTTGCCTGCAATGGCGAGGAACAACGCCGTATGAGCGATTTCGAATCTTGTTTTGCGTGTTGTTGTGCGAGTTTTCTTTTGCCTGTGAATATTATCTTTCCATATATGTATGTATGTATTATATAAAGCTCTATTGTGTTGCAAAAAACACAGCAACGTTCGTCGTAGTTTCCACCCATGAAATTTAGCAAGGCTTGTGTACTTTGTTCCAGGTGAGAAATGAATGGTAATTCGCATTCCATTTTATGAGGCCGGACGTTGAATTGAGTTAAATGTACGATTGTTTCAAGTATAAGATGCTAGAAAGTCGAATTGTTTTCATTTTTGTTGTTAGAATCATGACATATAAGCCCCTGCTGTATCATGATAAGCATTGCGCCTTCAGTTCGTAGCGAAAATCAGAAAAAGCCAATATTTGATTTGAATACCGTTTAAACGCACAGATACGGAGATATTGTCTTTTAAAAATGGAGGATTGTCTGATAACCGTTCACAGGTAGTTGTTGGCGGCTTCAATGGCGATGGCGATATAATCTCATGGATGCGATGACATTAGCAAAGATATCCCATAGCGGTAAAACAGCACAACACCAGGCTGATTGATGGTTGATTTTATCATTACTTAACAATTCATTGTATCTAGCTAATACAAGCAATATGATTTTCACGTACGGAATGATGAGAAAACTTAGTACAGAGTACATACAATGTCAACAACCATAATTTATAACAACTATACATCCGTTGCACACTGAATATTGATTTTACAATTAACGAATGCACTAAATTGCGTAACTTGGGGACCGGGCGTCTCTAAGAAATGTAAATCCCCTACATTACACAGCTGTACAAATATACAATGCAAAACATCAACATACACAATTACAGATTTAAAATGACTATATAATTAGACCATTACAGTAATACTATATTTCTAAATTCCAGTTCCTGGAAGAGCCTATCCATTGTATCGTTCTAATGTTTGCCATTCCCGGAAAATCAAACTTCATTTTCAATTTTTAATATTTTAATAAGGAATGCAAAATAGGTGCTGACTGTTTTCATGGAACGTGTGACGTACAGGAAAATTTATATGCGATCCTGAATGGAGTAAAGAGGTCAGCGCATTGTTTTCGAAGCTGAGATGTCATTGACGTCATGTCTTTTTAACCAATGAAATCATGACACGTGTCAAAACTAGAGCATTGTATCAGTATTCGGAATATTCTCATGTTCGTGAAAAGTCAAATAAGAGCATTCTCTTCATACGAAACAGAAACACCTGAACATGTGTACCACAAGAACAAGTAACGTAAACCAGCCAAGATCCAAATTCGGTTAACTAGTTGTTTTAACTCGCGTTTGCTGGGAGTGTGTGATTTGCTGTGGATTTTTGAACAGAAGTGTACACATTTAGATTTGTTTGTGGACGGAATGACAATTATATAGAAAACTAATTAGTGTAACGATAGCGGTGACACATACTGGAAAAGTTCAGGGACACATTTTGGTGATTTACACCTTGGGCAATATATATTGACTGAATGATTGTATTTGCAATTATTTACAGTTTTTCACTTTTTTTTTTTTTTTTTTTTTTTTTTTTTTTAATATTTTTTTTGTGCCAGGCGACAGTTCCGGACATTAAGTGTCTTAATTTCTTTATACGTCACGATATTAACGTTAAACGTCAACATTTCGTGAGTGTTCGAAAAATACTGC